CTTTTTAAAGAATAGGACTCTCTGCTCTGCGCTCATTCTATAGCTGCTGTATATATCGAATGCAGCACTTTCTCTTTGGCAGCGTTGAATGTGACCAAAGTGTTCACTGAAGCATAACGAACATCCACAAAACACATAACCGTCCTCAAACAGATCTGTTCTCTACTGCGCACACTGCTTCATGTGACTCAAATGAGGCATAAAAAGACATTTAGTGGAGCCTTTACTCACTGCACTGCGATAAAAACACGCTGAAGATCGGATACAAACAGACACGTTTCAGCTCTTCAGTCGATATCTTTCTCTGATTTCTGCACTTTCATGAGCAGATGCCAGTAAATGCACCTTTATCACTGTGATGTTGGTCTTCTTACGCACATTACTACGCCTACCTAAGGTGTTTTGCAGTATAACTTGCATATTACACAGATTTGTGTGTATATTTACTGCATAGATTTAAATATATGTTTGTTTTAGGGATCAACAAATACAGTTTCCTCAGGCTCTGATACAGACACCGATTATTCAAGGAAACTGGTGTTTTTTAACCAATTTATATAGTTGCAGCAAAAACGCATGTACTTTACTTGAGTCTTCACTGGCGGCTAAATCGGCATCACATTTTTAAATTAATCTATTTTATTGTAAATCAGTTAAAAAATAACAATAACTGGACAAATGCTGAACTCTATGTTTAACTAATCTTTGCAGATAAAATTCAGTTTTCCTTTTTTATTTCTTCCTTTAGTTCTACTTTAATACACTTTGTTCTATTTTAGGGCCTTTTTTAATGACAATAAAGCCTCGAACCTACATATAAAGTACACATGAAACATACATTGTATATTCTTCTTATTCAGCTCAATTAGAAACGTTTTCTTCATTCTGATGAATAAATTGATCCAGAATTAGAAGGAATCTCTGATACCAGCAGATGCAGTGAAAGCACCAAATAACTTTTTAAAAGAGCATTAATGTGGATTTATTTTTAGATTTTAATTGACAGAAAGACCCCAGATATCACATCGAGGACGGGAATGCAGAAGCTGTAGTGATACATTCACTGTGAAAACATCCACATGTTGGAGAATCACACAGAAGTGAATTAACGCCTCTGTTTGACGTCAGAGACTTTGTAACGTGTTTCACACTTTTACAACCTCCAAATGTCAGATACACGTCTCATGAACAGTATTTAACTACTAATCTGAGGTTTTTGTCCTTTTGTATTTCTATTTTCTGTTACTTTAAACTTCTGCTCCGATATAAGACTGAACTATTTCCTCCACTGCTTTTATTTGATTACTTACGTTACCAAACAGATAAAGTATATAAAATAATTAAAACGAGCTCCACCTTCAGCATCTTCAGCATTACAGTGATAAACACATTAATTATAATAACATATATTATTCTGCATAATAAATACTGTTACTTTTGGTACTTGAATTATGTTTTGATTTGATTTGATTTTATCTTTTTATTTACTGCTATGTTTTAAAGTGTTTTATATCTTGTTACTGATGGTGCTGTGGTTGTTTTTGTTGTCTGTACTCTGTAAAAGCACGTTGTAAACCCCGAACTATATAAATAAAGTGTATTATTGTTATAACATAAGTATTTGAGAGTACTTGCAGCATTGTCACAGTGGTGTTTGCAGGCAGCAGATCATCACTTGCACCTTGAAGTGAATCAGAGTCGGATGCGAAGCGTTAACAGTGAAAACTGTGGAACAGATTAATGAGCTGCAGTCTGCACAGCGTTCGTCACGACCTTTGTTCCTGCTCACTGGCTTTTCTTTCACTGGAGATGAAATAAAAGACAACTTAAAGGACCCCACACACAACATGCAGGCAACACACACACACACACACACACTCACTCATTGTTAGTTTGTGAGGTTACAGGTAATGTTAAAACTAATTCTGCATTGGATTTCACCTTGTAACCAAGTTAAGTTTCAAACACACATCAGTCAATCTTAATCTTAAAGGCTTTTCTCTTATAACACTGTAAAACCTGACATGTCTTAATTAAATAAGGAAGTTAACATAAATTAATTCTCTAAAAAAGCTGTTTTGAGCAGTATTTTAAATCCAGGCGATATAATTCCAGTTATCCTAACGCCCCTAACATGACTGTCAGATACTGATGCTGGGAATGAGACAACAATCAACTATCTTCAAGTCTCCAACCCAAAGCATCTTTCCATCTTTAGTTCCATAAAAGTTACCAACTGCAGCTTTAAGTTGACTTTATATCATTAATTAATATATAAGGCTCACTGTCCTCGGTCAGTGCTGTATAGTTTAGGATTTTTATTTCAGTTTATTAATCATCATATGCAGAAGACACATATTTTATTGTTGATGAGTATCTGCTTTACAGTTATATTGTCTGTCTCTACCAGTATGCATTGTTTTTATACGGCTTTTATTGTTCACTATTGTTTTTATTGTTGACTGTTCTGTCTTTTAGGACTGTAAATGCTGTTTTTAAAAGCACTATGTAGATAAAATGTATTAATATTATTATTATTATAGATCCAAGACGGATTACAATTAACAATCTGTCGGCTGCTTCAGCACCACGGAGAGCGCCACGGATTTATCACAAGGATATTTCAGAGCCGTGGTCGGAGCCACGACGAACCTCAGTCGGACAAAGATCAATGAATCAGGTTATATATCATAAATTCACCTGAACAACCCCTCTGCCCGGCTCTCTCTCTGCCAACTACAGCATTGGTAGAAAGTACGCAGGTATTTTACCGGCTGTAACAAGCTCGCTGACTCGGCTAATGTTAGCACCAAGATTTGGTTGAAGGATCTATCTCTGTCCGACTTTAATGTTTCCAGATAAATCGCTTCAAAACAAAAGTCCCGTAAAACGCATCTTAAAGAATTACTTTAAATTTCAGGAGTGAAACCTGCCGCCGTTATTGAGATCTGTCACTGAACAGCTGTGGTAAAGTTCGCAAACCGTACGGTAACCGTTTCCTGAGCAGTCGATCCATCGGCAGCTGAGAGTCTGGTGCTGTAAACTACTGGTTCCCAACCTTTTTCTATACGGGATCTATCGTTCTATCGTTTAATAAACTGACTCAGTGACATATTTTATGGATATTTTATATTGTATTTCAAACTGAACCTGAATATTGAAGTTTGTGTTAAACGAGTGATCTGGATGAACTCTGAGCATTTCCTGTTTCTGGAACTTTTTATAGATTTCTGTCTGTATTATGTATTTATTTATAATATTTAACAATCATAAAGTCTTAATATGAGTCTATTTTGACAAATTCAGTGTTTTCTTCTCTCTGACATTTTTCTATTAGACAATTTACTCTACTTTTACTACTGTGTATATTTTTTAAATTTTCTTACAAACCTTAAAATCAAGAAGTCCTCTCGACCCCCCCCCATGGGGATTTGACGACCCCTAATGGGGGTCCCGACCTCCAGGTTGGGAACCACTGTTGAGAGGAAATCCAACCGCAGACACATTTGGGTTTCCTGAAATAAAACATTACACATTTCGAAGGTTTATACGAAATATTATAAAAAACAAAATAAAAAAAAAACTGCAGAAGCTGATAAATTGTTCGATGCTACGGTTATTAGCTGTTGCTATTGCAAGAACACCAGCATGATAGCATTTAGCAAATAGCTCCACTGTGTCTCATAGAGCTGTTAGCATGGTTGTTAATGTTCCTGACATTTACCTTCACATTGTCAGCAGCTGTGTCATTAAGAGTCCGTTCACAGAGGAAGAATTCAGATCCTCTGAAAGTCCGAACACCGAAACACTGAAAATACCTGTAAAAGTCCAGCTTTATTTTATATAAATTAAATAAATTTAAATGTTATTTAAGTAAAAAGCAGGAAAATATACTTAAAAGTGTAAAGTTGGTTGAGGTGGAGCTCATTATTTCAGGGTTCCCGCTCTTTCCAGAAGTTTTTCCTGACTCATACGGGACGGCACCGGTCTACAGGACGGTGATATAAGCTCATTTTATTTTACGGAAAAATGTATGTATTTATCAACCACAGCAACAAGAAATATGATCATTAATTGGCCGTATTAATGGAGATACGACTCCATCCCGAACAGATCCCTGTGAGTCAGTTCCACTTTGGTGAACTTGCTTTGAAGACTCGAACATTTTATCCGTCTAACTGCTGAGTTACGAACTAAATAAACTCCCAGGTTTATGTAGCAACAACATTTATTTCCAGAATATTTGATCATTTGAATCAATTTCCAGGTGTTTCCATGAGTTGAAATCTAGTATCCAAGTTTCCAGCTTTTTCCAGGACCAGTGGGAACATATATTATTTTCATTACGAACTAATCTGCTCATTATTTTGTCCATTAATCGATTGTTTGGTGAAAAATGCCGTCACAATTACCCAGAACCCAAAGTGATGCTGGTTTTTATCCAACCTCGTGGTTCCCAGCCGGTTTCCTTTTTTCTATCATTGACTAAACTTAAAACGTTATGGATAAAATGTTATGGATATTTCATATAATATTTAATGCATAATACAAACAGTAGAGAGCCACTGATGAACTGTGAAAAGTCAACACAATAACGGTTTGTGTAAAATGAGCAATTTGGATGAATTTTCCTCGTGTTCCAGTTGTTTTTTATACAGTTGTCCATTTTATGTATTTTTTCTACTTTTTAACGATGATGCAGAATTAAAATGACTTTCTTTTTGGCAAATTCTGTGTTTCTTCTCATTGTTCTATATAACTGTGTTCTTGTTTCACTGCAAGACAATGAGATATAAACACACTGTGTATATTCTTAAAGTTTTCCGACCCGCCTTGAAATCAAGAAGACCTCGCCGCCCCCCCGTTGAGCTTTGGTGATCCCTACTGTGAGGCGACATCAATGTGAACATTTATGAAAGAAACAGAAACTAAAATAAATCTTAATTAAAAACTAAAGCTGAACAAAAGAGAAAAGAAAGACACAAAAACACACTGACAGGTTAGGCTTTTACCATTTTTATTCATATTTCAGACAATATTTTCTGTCCATATGTTGAGGATAATAATGTTACAACCAGTTTGTTTATTTGTAAAATACCACAGCGTAATTTACAAGTTGGTAATAAACAGTGACGGCAACAGAAGAGAGAATATCAGATAGAAAGAGAAACAAATACAAAACGGTTGATGAAGAGGAGGTTTCCCTCTGCGGGACCGAGAGCTTTAGGTGAGGATGTCGTGGGCCTGCTGCTCCACCAGCATCGCCATGTTCTTCACGTCGCCGCACCAGAAGTCCAAACGCTCCTTCATACCTTTGATCTGAAACAACAGGCGGGTGAAAAACTGTCAAAACACTTCTGATCCAACGCTGCTGTTTGTTGGTTTGTTTATTTCTGCAGATATCAGCTGTTGTTGTTTTTCCTTCTTAAACCTGTTGAATCAACTTTGTTTTTGTTGATTTGTTCATAGTTTTTGGTAGCTGCTTAAGGTTCTGATCCATTTCCTGCTGTGAGTGAAGTAACTGGTCTTTATCCACAGCATCTTAACCGATCTACCGTTGCTATAAACTATATTTAGGAATTAAAAAAGGACCAGTGACCGGTAATTCATCTGGTGAAACTGGTGAAAACAGCTAAAAATAAACTAAAATATCTTACAAATAAAACAAAAGAAGCCATTTATTAGCCAGTAAAATGATTAAAACCATCCCAAAACAAACCCTGATGTCTTCCTTATTGTATTTCTCTCACTGTCTATCGTCTATCTTTGTTATGGATCTATTGTTAAGCTAATGGAAAGATCACCACATCATCTACAGTCACACCAGTTCCCTCCAGGAGAAACCAAAACACATCAACTAAATGCTTCTGTTGTGATGTGTGAGAAACAAAACGAGGACCAACCTGCTGCAGGTCCAACACTCTGGGCTGCACCCAGGTCATCTGCACCTTCTGGTCCACCTCATCAATGTTCCCTTTGATCAGACCCACGGACAGAGCCTTCATCACCAGCAGCTCCACCTGCAGGAGACACAAACACACAGAGCATCAGAAACAGTTCAGTCCATCAACTAAACACTTCTGCATGTTAACTAAACTCTGTACAGTAAAACTCAAATCAATAAACTCTGCTGATCAAACTTAATCATTAACGGGCCGATTAAATCCACTCGTCATCCAACTGACCTCATTAACGGGGATTTTGGCACTCTGAGCGATCTCGGTGAAGGTGAGCTGTCTGTGGTTTGCAGGACGAGTGAAAGTCATCTGGAAGAGAAAGGAGACATTTAAATTGATTTAATAAATCGGTGACAGCGACATCGTCTCCGTCACATATAAAGTGGGAGAAAACTGTCAACGTAAGACTCTTTTTAAACTTTCTACAGCTTCGGTTTGTTCGTCTGTTGGTCAAAAAGTGTTTCTGAAAGGTTCATATGAGATTCCTTTCAGTCAGAAAACACTGTGTCGATCACCTTTCGTTAAATCTACTACAAAGAGCTTTCATTTCTAAAACATAGGGGCACAATTAAAGCTAAAAGGGGAACAGGAGCTGGGGATGGAGTTAAATAACGTGTGGTGGGACGTAGACAGAATAAAATGCAATAATATATCACATCTTGTGCTCGATCTTGCTCAGTCTGCAAGTATACTGTCGATATTGAGATACATTGAACACTACCGTACCCTAGGGGCTGAACAATGAATCCAAATTTTACTGAAATCACAATATTGCCATGTACAATATGCAAATATGACAAAACAGTATTATAATGTAAGTACTGTAGTTCTGAAGAGAGGCCAAAGGTCAACACATCTTGTTCTCTAGATGTAAGAAAACACGTTTATTTGGTACAAAACCCCCAAAAATGTCACATAATCATGATTTAAATTGATTTTTTAAAAAGAAAATTAAATTTATGATGCAAACATCATCGTTCCCACACAAATCGTAATGTGGAGCAGTTTATACCGGAGGAGATTATTTACATATATCTGTATTTATTTATTATCAAATGGTGTATATATTCTATATATTCTACATATTTGGCTGATTGGTTCTTTCTCTGTGTACACTCTCCTCTTCCAGGTCTCCATTAGTGGAGGAAGGTCGTATGGCTCAGGTAACATTTTGTAATCTATATGCATCACAAATTTTGCCATCGTAATTTGTATAAAATGTGATTTTGTTGGTCTTTTCCTGTCATATATCGCGGAGAGTTTTTCTTTACCCGACCATCAACACAAATGCAAGTGTCAAAGTTCAATTCTACACAAAAACTCTGCACAGATTTGCTTCCTCTCTGAGAGTGAAAGCATCGACTGTTTCTATTTCTAGACTTTATTGTGAAAGGTCCCGGTTTTCGATGCTGCTGTGACCACGATTTTAATCTTAAAGCTCCCGTTGAGTCTCACCTCCATCACGCAGAGCAGCTGGATCTTCTGCATCAGTTTAGCTTCATGTGTTGCAAGATCAGGCTACAACCAAAAGAGAGAAATAAAATCAGTGTTCAGGTACAAGTGATGTCCAGATATTGAGATCTTAAAGTTTTACTCATAAGTGAATGAAACTGTTGATACACCTTCTCCAGTGCTGAAGTTTAAACTCTGTACTCACTCATGTATGAACTCCACAAAGTTTCTCACCAATTACAGAAAGTGGGTTAAACTTTTTAATATCTTATTTCTTTATTTATCATAACTGGGGTTGATTTAGGGCAGTAATCTATTATTGAGCTGCTACTGACCCAATAGATATCCAGGAAGAGCTAAAGCAGGCAAATCTCAACATTCAACACGGTCAGACGACAAATTAAAGCAAAAAAGGGGAATTAATTTCCTTTTGAAAGCCAGATTTAATGCTTTTATGCTGTTCAGAGTTGATCTGTGGAGCCTTAAATGTCTCAGTATACATTGAACTATAATAAATGAACAAACATTAATCACCTGTTGGCCCCAGGCAGACTTGAAGCCCTGGAATTTCTCTACATTGCCTCCATTGAAGGCGTATAGTGTATCAATAAGCCACTGTTTGTCTGTGTTCCTCAGGGTCTCCAGCACAGGATGCATCAGCTGCAGAGACAACAACAACAGATGCGGTCATTATCAACAAGCTTCGGCTGAAAGTCTGGCTGAGATAAACAACGTATGACAATATCCCACCAGCTCTCCAAAGTTGTAAACTCCTTCTCCCAAGAGTCCAGCCAGTCCCAGTGTGAACGCCCTCTCCTGCTTCTCCGTCTCTGTGGAGTAAACATTAAATAATATGCTCATTAATATGTTTCCATCCAACAATTAATGCAAATTCAACCCCTGTAAAATCGTCCCGTGACCTTGCAAATGTGTCCAGTCAGTGTAGTTTCCTGCGAGTTTTGCTGATCGTTGTCGTCCCAAGAGCTAAACGTTGAGCCATACGTCACCAAACTACCGGCAGTTTTATTCTTGCCTTTGATTTCTAATAAAATATACATTAAAAACTGGACTTTTGCCCATAAGGTCCCATAAGTTCTGGAAACTGCTGCCTGAGGATTTTAAATTTATTAGTTTTTCATTGCTTAAAACGTATCTTTACAGGAAAGCCTTTGTGATGCCTTTGATTATCTTTTCTTCTCATAACTGTATTTTGCGTGTTATTTATATTTTATCGTGTGTATTTTATACAAAAGCTGTGAAATCATGTCCGAGTGTTCGTTTCCCATCATGCTTTCACCTACCTGGAAGGTCTTTAATGTCCACACATCCGAGGTAGCGCAGGGCGTCCTTGTAGTAGGAGGCGTGGTTCCCGATGATGCGGTAGTATTTGCTAGAGAGGTCATAGAACCGGCCGTGGACCGACGTCACCCCGGGCAAGTTATTCAACATTTCCTCAACCTCTTCGATGAGTTTCTGGAAGAGCAAACAGGCAAAATGTGGTTACTGACACCATTTTCAAACTGGGTCAGAGGATCGAGCAGCGACACCAACCGCAGTTTAACATCAGCATGTCTTAAAAAACACTTTTATTGTTGTTTACTGTTTATTACATTTATTTAAAACCAGAAATATGTCTTTTACATACGTATGTTTTACATTTATATACATTGACTATTGTGTGTGTGCATATAAATCCCAGAATACATCGGTGAATCCCTCCTGTGCTCATTCATTCACACTGAGACCTATCTGACTCCATTCGAGATGAGGAGCGCACTACCTAACAGCTGTTGGTGTCACATCACGTGTGAACATAACCGGCAGATTGGTGATCAAAATGTGCTGAAACTCGTCGTATCTGAGCGAGGTGCGAGGCACGTTTTGCGTCAGAAGCTTGAAGAAGAAAAGAAACGGGGGGAGAAAGCAGAGAGTTGCTGAGGTTTTACCTTAGTGGCAGGAAGATCGTTGATCTCCAGTTTAAGACTGCCGATAGACGTCTTGCAGAGAATGATGGCTTCGTCGTTGCTTTTCACCTGAACCAGACAGAGACAGTTAAAGTCTGATCAAAAGTATATAAGTAGGGAGGACACAATAATGTATACACCTCTCAGGTAACAACACAATTCAACAGCAGCAGGAAATACAGCCCTAAAAACACCTAAAACGGCTTAATTAAAACATTATAACCTTCATGAAGGGAGGATTTATTGCATGATTATTGTATTAGACTGCATTAGATTGGGTTAAGTGAACCCAATAAACAGGCAGCTCAGTGTTTATTGGAAAATCTGCTGCGTTGGAATCGTTAAAAGTACCTTTTCCCTGGTCTTCTCGAGGAAAGTGATGGCATCTTTAGGATCTGTAAACAAAAACAGTTTTGTAAATACAACAAAAGTATGTTTTCTCTGCTAAGCAATGTTTTCCTGCTGCATCACGTTGTTCTCACCTTGCATCTGTCTGGCGACGTACAGAATAATCTCCATGAGGGACAATGGGTTGATTCTGATAAGAGAGAGCAAGAATAATAAATCAGCATCGGAACAGGCAAACAAGCAGAAAATGGTGGAAGAGGGCAGGTGTTAGATGAGTAAGACGTTTATCTCACCTGTGTTCAAAGTCACTGATGAAATTGTCGTAGAGCTTTAAAAAGGAAAATAAAACAGTCAGATCACAGAAAACATCAAAATATTCATCACAATTTCTCTACAGAGGCCACCAATGAACAGATATTCGCATTATTTACTGTTTAAGTTCCTTATTTAGTGTGAATATTTGCACAAAGGTCTTTTTTCTAAGTAAAATTGACATAAAACAATAATAGCAGCACCAGATACAGAGATGCAGGCCGTGAGAATGATTAAATACTGTTGTTCAATTACAACAAACCTGAATAAATTTCCTTGTACGGTGTAATTTGAAAACAAGATATATTATATAAACAGCATTCTACAAATCTCTGTCATCCAAATTAATGATCCTGAAAAAGTGGCGGTTACAAAACAAACAAAACTGGTTATTAAACATTTTGTTTGACAGTTTGGTTTAATGTAATATAAAACGGTGGCACACGGTTCTTCTCTTTAATCATCATTTTAGATTATTTCATGTGTAATTCTGCCACATTGTGATAAACATTAAGATCAGAATTATAATCAGTGTCATGTTAATAACAGACGTGCCTGTTAATAACATATAAAACAAGCAAACACAAACAATATCTGTGCATTTAAACGCATCTCAGAGTTCAAAGCTCGTGCAACATGAGTGGTTTCCAATTACGTTATCAACTCCCCTAAAAGAAAGTTACAGAATATATATATATATATATAAAAGGGCACACAGAGGAATATGTGTGTATTCATTAAAGCTGACATTAAAGTTGTGAGTGTGCTGTTACCTGTATGAGACCATCTCCTGTTTTGAAGCAAGGATCTTTAACAAAGTCTGTCAGCTTCAGAGTCAACTGATGCCACAATCTGTCAATGTACAGAAAGAAAACAACGTTATATATATATTCTCCACTTTATCTGAATTACACTGAATCACTGCAGCTGTATTCTAACAACTACATCAGGAAGGTAGCATAGAATAAACTTTATTTATGTTTTATATTTGGCACAATGCTGCAATGTGCAGCTTCACAAAAACAAACAACATGAAACGTCTTAAAACATGACACTGACTTTACCTTTAACACTGGCTTAAAGAGAGACTGTAAGAAACTTAAGTTCAGCAGCTTATTAGATTTAATAATTAGAGAAATTAGAGAAATTAGATTAAATGTTCCAAACAAACATTAACTAACAAACACTTTTGGATAAAGTGATTTCACTGAGACACATAAAACATCTTTTTTTTTCTTCTTTGTCACCAGAATTTATTAAGAAGTTGGTAATTTTAATATAAAGCTCCATCTGACAACAACTTGTTTACTCTTTTAATTAATGTTTACTTAATAATCTGTACCTGTTTACCTGTTGTTTACCTGTTGTTTACCTGCTGTTTACCTGCCTGTGTTTGTTAGTTGATGTTGTTTTTGTTTACCTTTAGTGTCTTTAGGACCCTCTCTCATATGAAATGCTCCTTTAAATAACTCCTCGTGTCACAAACGGAGAGGGATATCGATTAATAATAATAATGATTGGTGAATTATTATTGATGATTTTTGGTGTTTAAACAGATTTAAAACCAACAGAAGAAGAAGAAAATCAATAATTATCGTATCACAGCTGATCTTCCACACAATAGTTTAACCTTTGTAGTGATAAATTATTTATTTATCTTATTTTACTGCTACACTGCACTGACTCATCCATAGCATCCGCGCTAGCACACAGCTAGTTAGCTTTAACCTGTGACAGATAAACTTCCGTTAAATCTCCGTTATTGAGCTCAAAGCTTCAAACTGTTGAACTATATATTCCGGACGTGTCTGATTTAATGTCTAAAATCATATTTTAAGTTTGTAAACTGAATAGAAGAATAAACAACTTGCGGGGCTAACATTAGCCGAACCGCCTCAGCTAACGCTAGCTCCGTGCATGACTCAGCGTCCGTTCACAATGAATGGGCCAGCTAACGTTAGCCTAGCCTAGCCTAGCCTAGCCTAGCCTAACGTTCCCTACCTTTTGTTGTGATACTCCTCCAATGTGTGCCACTCCGCCGCCATCTCCGGCGTGGAGCTGTTGCTCTGCTGCTGTTTGAGGAACCCAGTAACATCTTTCATTGTGGCGACCGGCTGCAGATTAATTATTAAATCTTAAACAGTTTATTTCTCTCTAAGCTAACGTCAGCTAGCCGCTCGCGTTGTGGCTCTGCTGCGCTGCGGCTGGACGCAAAGGATTGTGGGACAGGAAGGAGGCGTTTCTAAAAGCTCACATTAATGGCGGCTGTCAGATTCTGTTGTTGGAGAGCAGCGAGGACCCTCAATGCAACCGGTCAGTGGACAGACAGACAGACAGACAGACAGACAGGACCCTCAATGCACACGGTCAGTGGACAGACAGACAGACAGGCAGACAGACAGACAGACAGCGAGGACCCTCAATGCAACCGGTCAGTGGACAGACAGACAGACAGGCAGACAGACAG